TTAAAAATTCTGCAAAAAATAATTTTTGTGGGACAAATTAAAAGTTATGACATAATTTATTTTTAAATAAATTGTATGCAGTTTGTTTTATTAAGGATAAAAATCACAAAACGGTCAAAATGACCGCGCTACGGGCGTTCTAGTGTTAAGACTGTGAAAAATATACGATTCACGATTTGTGAAAGCCTTTGAACAATAACTTGATATTAAACACATATTGCATGCAATATAGCACTTCTGTTTTTATATGAATTTCTATTATGTAAGTACGTTTTCATTGTTTTTCTTTATAGATGGCTTGCAGTTTGGAGTGGCAATACTGCTAGTTTTTTAGTATTGATAACAACACTTTATGTTGTATTGATGAGAAACAGATTATCAACAGGGCTCACTGGTCTTGTACTCATATATCTTATGCAAGTAATTTCATCACACTATCGGTGTTACTGTAAATGATTCATTTATATACCTCCACATTTTTTAGCTAACACAATTAATTTGTTGGTCTGTAAGAGCATTCGCTGAATTAGAAATTGATGTAATTAGTGTTGAACGAATTCAAGAATATTCTAAATTAAAAAGCGAATCATTATGGGAGGAAACAAAATCATTGACAAACTGGCCAACGAATGGAGAAATTACGTTTGAGCAATTATCTGTTCGTTACAGAGACGGTCTTGACCCTGTTTTGAAAGATATATCATTTAATGTACAACCAGGAGAGAAAGTAAATATTTGAAAAACAAAAATGTGTCGAATAAGCGACTACTTTTGTTTTGAAAAGATAGGAATTGTTGGGCGTACAATGTATTATTCGCATATAATGTCAACGCTCTTTTTTTACAAAAATGTCTGTAATACAGCCGAAAAATGATGATTCAAGCCTAACAATATTTAGGACATATTGACAGAGTTCGACTGGAAACATTGCACAACATAATACACGAATCATTTCAAGGAGCTGGTAAAACGTCATTATGTTTGTCTTTATTTCGAATTATTGAACCGATCAGTGGTAGAATATTAATTGATAATGTTGATATATCACAATTAGGTTTACACGATTTACGATCCAAAATTACAATTATACCACAAGTAAATGAAACGAGCATAAATTAGCCGAGACATAAAATAATTTAGAGAAAAGTGTGAACTAATTTATGGAACCAAAATTTTTGCGTTTTGTTCTAGGATATGGTAATATTTGATGAAACGATTCGTTTCAATTTGGATCCTAATGGAATTTATAGTGATGAAGAAATATGGAATGTTTTAGAATTATCACATTTGAAACGTCGAATAATTCAATTAGAAAATGGACTTTTATATCACCTGATCGGTGGTGGAGAAATCCTAAGGTTAAAATCAAAGATCTTTTATTTTGTATATATATTCAACATTTCTGCATATTCTTTTTGTCTCATATAATATAGTGCTGGTGAAAAACAATTACTATGTTTTGCTCGTGCATTATTACGCCAAAGTAAAATTTACGTGCTTGATGAAGCAACAGCATCAATTGATTTAGGAACAGACTATTTAATACAGGACACAATACGTAAAATGTTAAATAATACAACAGTACTAACAATAGCACATAGATTAAATACAGTATTAGATAGTACAAAGTATGTAACAGTTAATATAGCCTCTCAAATATATCTAAGTTTTTTTCATCTATTCTAGAATTCTTGTTCTTTCGAATGGAACGATTCAACAATATGATTCGCCATCTAAATTAGCATTAAATTCAATTCAAATTTCTGAATTATTAAAAGATGTGAATATTCTCGCGTAAAATAATTGTCAACGATATATGCTTGTCAAAATAATAAAGTTTGTTTTAAGAAAAACATGACGAAAAAATGTCTCCAATACCAATTCATAGAACGAAAAAAGCATGGCGAACAGAATTTTATGGATTTGAGCCTAACAACTGCTGCACTCGGGGCATCGTGACTCATGAAATCTAAGTCCAGCGTGGAATTAGGTAAACACATGTACTAATGAACCGCTTCCCAATAAGAGTCCAGAGATGAGTGTTATTACTATTCGCCCCAAAACACAAGGCCATCGGTTGCTTTTGGAATAACTCAATCACACTGGGAGACAGCGCTTTCACCATCGTGTTGCTCAGACCTGGAGACATGTTTATTGCAAGTAGAAACTTGTTTCACAATTTTCTGGAAGGCCGGTTTTTATCCGGAGGTTACACTACAAAATTATGCAAGTCGCAACTGTCCAGCTATCGTCGTTTGGACAGGAATCGCTTTTCCCGAGTACGTGTCTATATCCGCTCAGAAATCTCTGAGAATCACGAAATGCCATGGAATATAGGTAATCGATTACGCTGAGCATAGTGGCAACATTTGTTTCCGTGTTGAAATAACGATAACTTCGTCAAAGGCATTTTTGTGTTACCAGCAAAAATTAAAAGCCTTCTTATATCTTGGTCAAATCTCATGCTGCCTCAAGGAAACCTTCAGGAAAGACTTGAAAGGGGTTATATATCGTTGATCAAGTCAAAAACATGGTCCACCAGGACATCGAGACTTTGAAGTGTTCCAGGAGGTTTCTGGAAAACCTTAAACCAATGCCCAGATGAAATTCACTTTTTTCGTCTTCGATTATGATTTATGAGCTATCCTTAAACTTTCCTTGAGTCAGCATGAGATTTGCCCAAGATATAAGGCTTTTAATTTTTGCTGGTACCAGGCGAAAAACCGATTTTTCACAAAAATGCCTTTGACAAAGTTATTGTTATTAGAACGCGGAAACAAATATTGCCACTATGCTCAACGTAGTCGATTACTTATATTCCATGGCATTCCGCGATTCCCAGAGATTTCTGAGCGGATATAGACACGTACTCGACGAAAGCGATTCCTGTCCAAACGACGATAGATGGAGAGCTGGGACTTGCGTAATTTTGTAGAGCAACGTCCAGACTACCTACGTAAGCAAAACAATTACTAGCATTGTAAGTTAGTTTTCTGAGAACGGTGCTGGTTTTTAAACGCTATCTATTAGTGCGATTGAGTTATTCCAAAAGTAACCGATGGCCTTGTATTTTGGGACGGATAGTATTACATAAAGTGATAACAAAAAAACAAACAAAACAAGAATTATTTTCTATAGTAACTATAACTTTTCTATAGTGAGTTCGCACGAAGAAAAGAAAGAGTGTGACGGTCTGATAAAAGAAGTTCTTATATTTCTGTATTTTAGTTTTACGAAAAAAATGAGTCTTTTGATTTTCACTCCCTTTTTACCGACCGTTTTGGATTTTGATAGATTTCATTTTGAGATTCGTACGTTTGGTAACCTTATCTGTTTTCTTAAGCTTTCCATTTACGGCGTTAACAGTGAAGTAAATGCACATTCGATGCATCCACACTTGTTGCTAATTATAAAAAGTATCCCTCTAAGCTGTGTGCTATTATTTTTCACGACTCCCTTAGGGAACATTTCAAAAAATGCCGGTCGGTCGCACGGTTGTTCAAACGTTCGGTCGGTCGTTCAGCCTCTGTGCCGTTCTGCCGCATTTAAATTCTAATTTATTTTATTTTGTTTAATTTCTTCTAAATGAGAAATTTTTCCAATTTTATGTTTAAAGACTAAAATAGGAAAAGAACAAACTTTATATTTTCATCAAATGTTCATATTTTATATATTCAAGGAAGACAGTGCACACTGTAAATTTATTTCGTATCTTGCCTACTTCGCGCACTAGAAGTACAGTAGTTAGAGAAGGTGTCATTCCATCTTTTATACTACTTTAAATTACACGAGTTGTACACGATACTAATGTATTTTTTAGAAAATGCTCCCTGTTACTTTTAGAGGTATTAAAAAAGTCAGTCTTACGAGGGAACCTCCCCAGGTTGCAAATCGCTTTCGGGCTAAAACCTGGTGGGTCAGAGGTAATCGAGGGTGCTGATTCCGAATATAACAATCATTTTTGCCGATAGGTCTTCAGAGACCGGATTTCTGGAAAACCAGCTTTTCAGAACTCCTAAAAATAACCAAAACCTTTGTTAATGAGACGGGATTGTAGCCCGCAGATTTCTGACTAAAATGAGACATCTTCGAGCTCAACATGATCTTTCTTTGCAAAGCTATAGAGTTTGTAAGAAAAGCCCTAAATGTTCATTGTCAGGTCAAAGGTACAGAAATAAGAAGAAATTAATTTAGGGCTTTTTCCGTAATTTCCACAACATTGCAAAGAAAGATCGTGTAGAGCCCGGAGATGTTTCATTTTAATCAGAAATCTGCGTGCTAAAATTCTGCCTCATCAACACAGGTTTTGGTTATTCTTTAGGAGTTTTGAAACTTTCGTAACTATGTCAGTTTGAAGTACACAAGCTATACTATACGCCGAGCCCTTTTTTAAAACGGAATGGCTATTGCCACTCTCTGAGGGTGTCAACAAGAGCCGTCGTATTTTTACTTTTGGGCGTAAGTTCCAGTACACTTTATGAATTTCTTAACATTGAAGTTCTAAGATTGTTTTTCCTAAGGCACAACTGGTTATTGAAGTTGTGGAGGTCAGCATGAAT